TAATAAAAGTATATGGAGAATATCATAACAGTGTAGCGGACTGCTATGTCGACACAGCAGTAGCGTATCATGGGTTGGGTAAGTATGATAGTGCAATTTCAATGTACGAAAAGGCCAACAGAATTTTTACTCATATTCACGGAGAAAATCATCCTTACCTTGCCAGTACTTATACAATGATGGCAATTTCATATGAAAACCAACATCGATACAATGATGCTGCTTCTATGCAACAAAAAGCTACCAGTATTCGTCAAACACTACAAGATGGTAATGCCAATCAATTATTCGCAAATCAAGGTAATTTCTGTTTATTTAAACATAATTTTCAATCATTACATTGATAACATTTTCCCTTTAAGACACACGATATCTATTTACACTTTACTAATAGGAGAAAAAGTTCAAAAAATAAATCAAATACAGATCCAGGAGATTCCTAACCAAGATTTATCCGGTAAGATAAGAAATTGATAGGCTATTAAAATAATAATTGAAAAAATTTTATATAAAATGTTTGTGCTCCGACAGTTTTCAACTTTTAATTTTGCGAGTATGATGCAATTTTATGATAGATTGCTCAAAATTCAAGAAAGTACATCTACATATGAAGCGTCATGAGAGATTTCTGTATATTTCAATGTTATATAACTATTGATCGCATATAAAATTGGATTATTTCACACATTTGATTCTTATGAATTCATCAAGACCAAGTACTACAACCTGAGAAAGGTCCAAGTTCTAGTGATAATGATCGTGATGTAAACGAAGAAGAGGTGACAACGGTAAATATTGATACGGTATCTAATGGATTAATCGCTATCCATAAAATACACTAATATTACGATTTGAATACCTGCAAGTAATCCGCTTTGATTTCATGGATAGATAATATAATTTACTATTTTATAGCTATGAGAAAAAGAGCAGTATTTGACGCATACACGAAAGCATTAGAACAAAGAAGTTGCCGAAATGACATAATACGTGCTATGTATGCCGGTCCTTGCTATGTCAGTAAATCATCCATTATGAAGTAATTTACTCAACAAGACCTTGTAAACCATCAATCTTCGACGCAAATTGTTGATGAGTCTGATATAATGGTCGATCTTGAAGTTTATGGCACTTATGATCGCAGATTATATGATCTTAGTCACATTTTGGATGCTAATATTAAGGCGATTATTGCATCGTTAGTTAACACTCAAGAGATAATTCAAACACCATCGGTTACAACCTCAGCAGATTTACAAGCAAAGGTAGGATATCCGTCAGTAAACACTGATAGTTCATGTCTAGCTGATATGAAGCTAAATACTGCCAGTACCTCAGCGTTTGAATCATCGGATACTTCTACAACATCTCCTCACAGTTTGTTAGACTTGCAACAACGCCAAGATGTCTTTCTGCATTATTTTTCGTCTGTCCTAAATAAAAATGAAGATATTATAGGCAATAGTCAATATGCTAAAATATGGGATTTCGGTAACCATTCTATATATTACGCTACTCAGTACCCGTTTCTATCGGGGAATGGTATCTATATATTCTAGTATTTAATATTACTCAAAATATTAACGATAAAGTCCAGACAAGAGATGATGATATATCATTAATCAACATTGAAAGTACTACTACAAGTCTGTTAATAAGAACTCCAGATCTACGCGGAAGCAGACGAACGATTAGATGGTCCTCCTGCATCTCCTCGCAGTATTCTAGATTTACAGCAATGTCAAGATGTCTTCCAACATTAATTTTTATCTATAGATAATGAAAATAAAGACAGTCAAGGCAATAGCCAATTTGCTAAAATACGGGATTTCGGCTGTCATTCTATCTATCATGATACTCATCATCCGTTGTTATCGGGAAATAGTATCTATATTCTCGTATTTAATATTACTCAAAATATTAACGATAAGGTCAAGATCACATAATATAGTAAAATCGGGATTATTTCATGCACAATATTTTTGTTTTTTTATTTTATCTACAGTGCATTACTGTGCACTCTCAGAGTGCACGGCAAATTTTTGTATTTTGTTTGTACTGTGCAAGCAAATGTATGAAATTTTTTCGTTTCGGCAATAAATTTCATACCCAACGAAAGAGAATAAGTTGATTTACAAGAATCCGTGTATTATTTTTCTACAGACTGTATATATATACCCGTTTCTCTATAGACGGAAGATTTTGATTTAAAATCGATTTTAAATTCGATTAATTGCATATACTATGCTGGTATGTTCGTTTTCATGCGTCTGCATTCATTTATTGTCAAGAAAAAAATATTGGAATTAAAGTAAATATAGCAACAGGTATTAAAAATAATCAGTCATTTTTACATAATTACTATATGCAATATGGACTCAGGCTAGCTTATTCATTACCATAAATAGAAAACTTCTGACTAGCTATTGGCTCAGTAAGATACACAGACGATTTATCATTATCATTATGCGTAAACTAACTGCTTTCTTAAGATGTTGCAAATCTTCTTTCAACTCTTCAATCTCTTGGTCTCTTTTATTAAATCGCACTACGTCTCCATCATCTTTTTCCATACGGCTAGTAATAGCAAAGTCGTATTGTTCCTTATCATCGTCAGTATTTTGCTTTGCTTGGTCTTCTTTAGCGCTGCAGACTACAATTATTAATAATAATGAAGCTAGTACAACTAATTTGGAGTTCATTTTCTCTTTGGTGAATATTATCTAGAAGTGATAGATATAAATGACATTAACGCTTAATGTGAAATTTATGCCATTTAGGATCAATTCGCTGAAGTAAACTATTCTAATTTTGAAATTAATCGCTGCTATACATCTTAATTCATTAATTACTGTACTGTAGCTAATTAATGATCAAATTCGATTATAATCCAAAAATTTTTCTAAAAAATTACTATCTTATCTTTATAATTCTAACCTTCCTTGCACTTGGTTGCAAAATCGAATCGTGAATAACGTAGTGTTGATAGTGGACTAGCTTATATAAGAATCGAGGAGGTTTGCAAGACACTATCAATCGGCAATCGTAATTGTATAGCTATTCGTATTTTGTACGCTTTCTATCAATCGCTGAATTCATTAGCTACTCATTAAACAGATCCATGCAATCATTGATCTTATTGTTAGGCATCTATTTTTGTTGAGAGTATAATGTTTGTGTCGATGTTGCGAATAAACACTATTATAATTATTGACGTCAGCTCAATAGCCTGCGGTGGTTGCATCCTCTTTCTACAGAGCTTATTTCGACATTTTCAAGAAATAAATTATTATCAAGAATTTTGAGATGAAAATTCTTAATAACAGAAATAATCGAACCAATTTGGAATACCTTAACAACAGAAACGTAACTTCATTATGTATAATATAAATAATATAAGAGAAATTCGAGTTCATCAGGTCTTCTTATCAAGTTTCCTATGGCGCTATTCTGCTGGAAAATATCTTGCTTTACTATAGTCTGTTTTGTAATTCAATGTATGGTATAATTATAACATGAGTTACTTTTGATCTAAAGTCCGTATTACCTTTGAAATATTTGGAGTAAATTTTAGTATTTATCAAATCAGGATTTTTTCTTATTATTTAGTTCGCATGTATGCACGTTCTTTTAAGCGATACGAGTTCTAGTAAACATTTGATTATCTTAACTACGAAGATCAAGAAATTTAGCAAAGCCCTCATTGTAGTTATTTAGTTCGTATATTTCCACGTTCTTTTAAGTGATACGAGTTTCTAGTAAACATTGGATCATCTTAACTACGAAGATCCAAAAATTTAGCAAAGCCCTTATTGTAGCCTCTCATAATACATTTTTTATCCATCATGCCAATAATAGATTGTAAAAACTTAAGCGGTATTCTAGATGAAATCATATCTATCCCAAGGGATAGATTGCTTGAGGTCAAGTAATTTAAATCATAAATAGGATTCGAGGTGAATACCTGTAAGTTATTAAAACGTATATTCTGAGTTGTTGTTATCTTGAGAACATTTGCCTACTACAAATGAAACTGTTCCCTTCAGTCCCGTAACTACTTGAAAGAAAGTAGAATAGTTGACCTTTCTTCTAGCCGATTAATCAATCAATCTGTTGCAATATATACGGAGGAAAATAAACTTCTATACTATTATTTAGCTAGAATTTTATACGAAGATATCGATTATGACTGCTATTGTCAATATAAAAGCCGCCTTTCTGTATAGATTTACTGGCTTACCAGTAGCAAACAATATGCACAAATGTCCATTATGCTATCACTTATTAATGTCTATAAATAATTCCTTCCTGCAGTGCTTCTTACATCATAAGAGCTACCTTGGAACTAGAAACCTTCTATTTCATTAAGACTAATCTTGGGATACCTTATGAATGTCTATCCAAGGATCATAATAAAGATCCATTTCGATCTCGTAATAACTTCTAATTCTTTAATCCGGTATAATGCATGAATTTTATCGTAATCTATCGAATTGATGCAACTGATTATTGCAGTATTTATAAATAGCTATTGCTTAGGAAAGCCCATGCAGTCAAAAAAAGTTAGATTTGTAATCTTTTACACTGTTTATGTAATATCTTGCTTCGTTTTGCGGATAGTACAATCATTTATGGGATTGATAAGAGTCAATAGTAAGTTTTGAGTTATTAGCACGAATGGCTATGATTATATTTTACGTACTCTTTGCATATTATATGTATTTCATATTGTACGGCTTCGATCGACGACAATCTATTCAATTTTATATAATAGCATGCAATTCTTTTACGTCATTTGCATGCCTGTGGCGTTGTTAATAATTCTGCATTTGTAAATTGTAATTAAATGCAAGAATAAAATGGTATCATTGATGTAAGTTGTTAATCAGAAATAAAGTTCTACACATAATCTATATTTAGTCTAGAATCAGGTAAAGATGAAGCAGAATGAATGGTATGCATTAATGATTCAAAGAAATGAGACAAAAATAATCTAGTATATTTGTAAATAGAGTTATTTGCTAGAATAAGAAAGCTATTAAACTACGCTAATGGAAGCAAAAAGCAACCAGGAATCTGTTCGATTTTTGTACAGTTTACCAGATTGATACAGAATCCGTTACTGAGCTGATAGAACTCGTAATAAAGTTATCTTGTGCCAAAAAGTTGGAGCGAAAACGTTTATCCAAGAATAGCTTTAAACCACAATAGTGCAAGCCTAAAGAAATCGGCACATAAATTGAATGATTGACTTGATGAATAAGACAGCTTTACTGCGTAAAGATTCCGTGATTATTGTCTAACTAATAGGCTAATTGTGGATACAAATTTAATTCCTAAAAACTGGCCGATCATAAGAAATCGATGTTATACCCCCTGTTAAGGATTAGTTAATTAAGAAGAAAGTAAATTCAATAAGTAATCTATTTATATCTCAAGTTCAAATTACATCTGAAGTGGTCGAATAACGTTAATTGAAATCGTGAAATTGATGATTCAGGAGTAACGTCATATCGATTTCCCGACATTATTCTTTAGTAAGCGTTTCTGCAAATTTTAATTTCTAGAAACAGATTAGTTGTATGAGGAGATGATTTTATTATTCAAAATATACCTCGAAATTGACTATTTAACTTGTAAGAGATGAATCTAGCCACTTATGGTATTCTACTGTGTTTCTTAATGCTACTATGACGCTGATTTGTAATCATGAATCGTTGGACTATTCCGCTACCTATAACATTGTTACCTACTCTGCGAATATTACAGACTATATTCCAAATACAAAATATTCAACAGTTTTTATTAGTCTAGAAATAATCTAATCTTCACCATGCAATTTCAGTTTTGCTACCTTAATACAGTAATCAAAACGAAAATTACCTAGACACAAATTAGCACTTATCACAAAGGATAATATCGTATAGCAGTCAAAGCGATTGGCAGTATTAAGTTATTAATTTAAACATCTGAATGTGGAAAAATATCATCAACTTGCTACAAAAGGCTTTCCTGTAAGGATAGGCTTTTGCTGCAATCAAAAACAAATTTGAACCTATCAAATCTACCAAACACTATTTGAAGTCCCCAACATTAGATTGCTAACTTATGCTTATTCGAACGAAATCTTAGAATAATAAAAGTATTATGTAACGCCAACTACGTCTCTAAAAGTTAGCCAAGTTATCTTTTAGAAATTGCTTTAGCAAAACCAAATTTCCTTCCATATTACATTTACAATGTGAAATATACCAATCAACACTATCAAATGCGAATGCATGAATACACCCTGTTTTAATGGATTAAAGAAATTAACTATCCTACGGATTTAACCATTCGGCTCCTTACTTTCATAATAATTATAGAATGGTTCTTAAATTAAGAATATGCAATAATTATAAATTTACGTAAATGATGCTAATTGTGAACATTTGTTACTGTATAAGTGTATATGACTATCCGATGCCGTAACTTACTGTAAGCAACATGTGGTTCCATGTCAATTAAAGTAAAAAAATGATACTGCTTATTTTACCAAGGCCATGTGTATTTAATAAACCAATCATCATAGTTGAAGTTGTTAATTTCTATCTTCTTTCTAACATTGCAATAAAACACGTTCAATATGACTGTCATTATTTAAAGCAGATCATGACGAAACCATAGAGAATAATTACAATGAACTGCCAGTAACTTATTATTTTCAATTTCTTTCTATTATTTTCTTTTTACTTTGATCTTAGCTTATTAGCAGGTTCATTTATTCCATACAAACCCTTAATACGAAAACGGATATGTCGCAAACTAGATTTGAATGTAATAAGAGATCTTGCTCTAGAACACCAGTGACGATAAAGGCTAGTCTAACAAATGACTAATTACCGTAATTTAACCCTGATGACAACCTGAGTAGCGCACCTTAGCTAGCTTAAGTTATAATAATTAAAGTTTAGTTTATTATTACCATACGAATCTTGACAACCAAGTTTATATAGACTCCAGTCAACACACACTAAAGTATGAGATATAGCATAAACAACATTAATGAATCTTAAATCAATTATGGATCAATGAAAGACCAATTAATATACGACGCTTAGTACGATACTATTTCGCAACATGGAGCGTCGATAGTATTCTCCATTTTGGAAATTCATAATAGTGGTAATAAAATATCGTTGTTCCTAATTAACCATCAATTACTACGGACATAAATTATCACAGCTATAAATAACAGTTAAGAGTTGTTTAGTAATATAAGACTAATTAATAACTCACAATTTCGTACAATTTTCATCCATAAAGGAGTGAAGATTTACGGAGCCATACATGTACCGTAACAGGATATTTCAATAATCTGAAATTTTTAGTTTTCTGACCAAGAGATTATGGATACCTCAACTATCAATTTGAATATTAATATAGTCTAAATATTAACATCATCGCAGTGGATTTTTCTAGTCAGATATTCGATACACTCTTAACAGAGATTCGATTTACGAATTAAACTGTATAACGTTTTCCTTTATCTTCCATATCCAGCACATATGGTAACTTATGGTTTTATATTACTTTCTTATTCAATTTTTCAACCGGATAATAATTTATGGTATTCATACGTCAACGAGTGATAATCGAAAGCAATTGCTAATTTTTTTAATTGTCAAGCTTTGACCATCTGAGCAATAGCCAAAGTACCTTTATCCAAAACACAGTGGTTCATTTCTGCAATCTTAATATCGCAACCAGAAATGAAAATTGCGACACAAAAATTCGAACCTGTTGCAAACGATAGCTTTATATCACGGCCTAAATGATTAGTAAAATCAAGTTTTCGATGAAATATTTGAATATAGAAGGCACAATATATGATCAACTCGCTATGAAACGCTACAACCACAAACAAATTTGATCTTATAGAGCTATCAATCGTTCGTTGTTTAAGTATCAGAGAACAGACAGTTGGCAATTGATCCTTACTCTAATAAACTTTTAATACTAAAACATTTTATAACAACAACTGCACCTCTAATCATAGACAAAATTGATCTTTTACAAAACTAAGTAAGCAAAAAACTGATTTTCTTGCAGTGTAAAATATGGCACAGCAATCAATATTATGCAATGGAAATCCATGAACACATTTCAGTTTTCTTGTATAAAATAAAATTACTGCACGTATTTAGCCATTCGGCTCATTTGTTAATTAAAAGTCATGATATCTCGTCAAATTTGTATAAGCAGTTAATCCTATATGAAAATCAATCTAGTTTGAATATTTATAACCCCCAAACACTACAGCTACAAATCACTCTACCATTCCCTCACTTCCAGATAGGGGACATGCAATGGAATCTTCAACACTCTCAACTCATCATCAGGAGTGATCAGGATTACTGCTTAGCAAATCCAATGAAAAAGGAATAATATTTGCGTGAAATGTAAAGTTAATCTTGTATCTTGTACCCAGTGCAATTTAACGAGAGTGTCAATAAACTAAGTTAATATTGCTTCCATAATCAATGAAGATGATTGATGTGTATACTGTACAAATGGATAAAGTATACCCCAATGTCAGTAAAACCAATACCCAAAAATAAATAAAGCAAAACATGATTAAAAGCAGTGTAGTCTATGTCTAGTCTATGGTCAATGCTATTGCTGAGTTAGTTTAATGTCTATTACAAATCGTAGTCAAAGAGCGACTTGAAAGAGAAAAGGAAAAACATCTGTACAAAACATTGGTAAAATAGGAGAACATAAAGATCAACATTGGGATGGAGAAAATGGATTGCAAAATTGCAGCCTATCTATCATTAAGCATCCCATCTAGTCTAAAGTAGATATTGATGACAGTCTTGTAATACTGTAGATGGCGATCTCTTCAGCTATTAATAAACTAAATTAACATTACTTCTATCAATCAAGATGATAGATGTGTATACTGTACTGATGGATAAAGTATACCCCTAATGTCAGTAAAACCAATACCCAAAAATAAATAAAGCGAGACACCATGC